TAAATTTTGGGCCAAAATAATGGAAATAAGTATGATAAACCATAGATATTTTCCAAATGAACAGGAACAATCATATTTATTCGTTAGAAATATTACAATATAAAAAATATTGCAGGAAAAACTTCATATCAGACCGTGTAACTTTTATATACAACTTTTCACCCTGCACAAGTAATCATAGTGAAATTCAGAGAAGTATTAATTTCAAATTTCAATCAAAAAGATAGTGAAACAAACTCAACGATATTTAAAGAGCACGGCTTGTATTTTGAGATGATGTCTATGGATTTTCGCAATGCCACATAATCTCAAATATAAGCAAATTTTGCAAATTTAGGTTAGGAAATCTCTGAAATTAGAGCCAATTGAGAGATTTGGGCCACGTATTTGGATTCAACGCACAAAAACCTTTGGGAGAATATCCTCTGGTTTCTGTGTAAATATCTTGTCTGCCTGTTCTATCTTCATCGCATGAGTACCAAGTTATCTTCGGTTATAGTAACTATTATTAGCCTAGAGCCAGATTGGCCCTGCTAGAGTTGAGAAATGATTTTATTTATCTCATATTTATATAATCTCACATTAGATACAGTCTTACACGTTATCACATTCGTTTACTAGTTAACTGTACTATATGGTGATGGTAAGAAGCGTGACGAGACCAAAATACATGAAGGCAAGTCTTCTGTATAAATATGCACTATGATATTTTAGTAAAGGTGGAAGAGGGAGAGAGTTTTATTATAAACAGGTACACCTGGTGGTAATCCGTCTTGTTTTCTAAATTTGTAAGGTTTCCAAAAACGTTCAGACGGTAAATAAGCAGAACAGAATTGTTTTTTCAGCGATATGATTATTTATTACTAACCCAATTTGATTCTTTAGTAGGTTATATTTTTAGAACAAAGAAAACATAAAAAATTGTCTTGGAAGTACACAGCTTGATTGTTTTCAAAACACATCAAATTAGAATCAAAACATAGATGAGAAGTCTAGTTTTATGAAATAAAAACAGGAATTTATCGATTTGACCAGAACTTTTCTGTACCCACTGGTCACCATTGCATCCAATTTAGATGGTACGTTCTCAAGTTATTGAACTGTGATGCTTCAAAATGTACACCAAAAAAAACCTTGAATTAACGTCTATCCATACTAGTCACATTGGGATCTCAGCCTATAGATATAGATGATGCATGTTTTCATTGGAGAAATCGATTAGTGATTGGTACGACGATGAGTTGCAAATAAAAAGTTATTGCCTTGATTCGCCTTAATTATTTTATTATTTATTTTTATGTATTTTTTACAGACGTCATACGAATAATAATTGATACAACCTAAACAATAAAAAGCAATGTTCACTTGTTGATAATCTGATATCAAAAGCAAACACATCCAAAAGTTACAAACAGTTATAAACAGACACGTTGTACTACAAAATAATGAAATGAGTGTGCTTTAATTATTGACCAGGAAATAGCTGGCAGAGAGACTATACAGTCTTATGAATTGTAACACAACGCTATCCACCGAGACAAAATGCATCAAGCACTATCGTGAATGACTATGGATTTTTAAGAATATGCCTTTTTTCTTACTTTGACGGGATAGAGATTAGGCCAATAAGACGCGTGTTAGAGGGCCTCAAAAAGAGTATGCAGATATGCGCTATGCGGGTCAATTAACAAAGATTGATGATTTTAGCAGACGGGTTCTAATTGGTGTAAACGTACAACAAAAGTTCTAGTGCCATACGGACTATCATCCCAATAAGGGTGAATTCATAGCCAATAATAGCCATAGAATATCACACGCCTTGCTGCTTTGCTTTTGGTTATTACAAATTGCTTTTTTTCAAACATAAATCACCCATCTGTCCCGAGATAATAGCTACCTGAAAGACACTTATATCTCATTTCCCCTATAATTGGCTTGCCCACCATAGGGCGGGGTACTAGTAAAGTTGAAAAGTATTTAGAGAACAATATATTACAGTTTTGAAAGTTTATCTAATTTCCAGTTATCCACCACATACTTCTATTTTTTTTCAATAAAATATTGAATTGTTACTTTAGAATCCATAAAGAGAAAAACCATTTTCCAAAACTCGTACCTCAATGTTTGTCCGCAATTTGTGTCAGAGGTGAGCGAATTGTGATTATAAAAGAGTTTTGGTCATACATATAAGATTCGTATCACTAGTCTCTTTACCCCATTTCAATTTTAGTTAAAACTTAAACGGATATCATCGTTGCTTTATTTTAGAGCGAATAAGACAGGAGCAGCGTTTATCGACAGTTCTAATACGAGTAATGTCTTTTAAGTTTTGCATATGGAAATAAAACAACACGGTAGGTAGTTTTAAATGACTTTATTGTTCTTCGGAGTATTCTCCACGAAGATTAATACACATCTGCATACGCTCGAACCAATTTTCGAAGCACCTATTCCACTCGTTTGCTGGCAGATCCAAAACGGCATTTTTGAATGCGTGAACTGCTTCGTCTAGTGACCGGAACCTTTGACCACGCAGTCTGTTTTTAATTTTCGGGAAAGTACAGAAAACGTTAGGACTTAGATCGGGACTATATGGGGGATGGTCCAATAATTCCACGTTTTCTTCCGTTAAATACTGCCTTGTTTTTTGGGCTGTGTGCAAGCTTGCATTGTCTTGGTGGAGGATGATTCTTCTTTCGAGGTTGATTTTTCGAAGCTCGGTGATGACTTTTGACAAAAAAATGGTGGTATACCAATCCACAGTAACAGTTCTTTGCTCATTAAGAGGAATTTTTGCAATATGACCCGCTTTTGACACAAATGTCGAGACCATCTTTTTCGAAACACTTCGAGAACGGATGACTTTTGTTGGCTTTTGTTCACCTTGGAACACCCAAACAGCCGACTGTCGTTTATTTTCTGGTTCATAATCCACGATTGATCACCACTAACGATGCTGTACACATTTTTTGAGTTTCCGGAATTCAAACGGTCAAGCGTTTTTTGACACCAATTAACAATGGCTGCTTTCTGCTCTTCAGTCAAGAGGTGGGGTATTCAACGAGAAACTAATTTTCTTACTCCTAATCCTTCATGCAAAATTTTTTGAATTGAGGTCTTTGAGATCTTCAAGGACGCCTCAATCTCGCGATATGTCACATGTCTATCTTCAATGATGAGTTTGCGCACAGCATCGACGTTTTCCTGAGTGACTTCCGTTTTTGGTGCACCCACCCTGGGATCGTCGCTAAGACTCACCCGTCCACGTTTGAACTCTCCATACCAACGGGAAATTGTCTACTGATGTGGCGCTTCGTTGCCGAAAACAGACAGTAACTCGGCAAGGCATTCTTGTTGCGATAATTGTCTCTGAAAGTTGTAATAAATTATAGCGCGAAAATGTTCTCGGTTGAGTTCCATTTTTCTAATGACTTGGTGACACTTAAAAATTCACTGTAGTAAGAATGCTGCACGTATTGTTGTGAAACTTTGAATTTAAGTTTACTAAAGAGTGAGGTTAAGATTCAGTACTGACGTTCGATCCACGCGGCCTACTATGTTTCTATATGCAAAACTTAAAAGACATCCCTCGTATTTAATAAGTCCGTAATTACTCTAGGACATAATAAAAAATTCTTTTAGCCTATGTTGTTGGTTGCAATTCCAACCATGTTAAATGGGCCTGGTGCATCGGCCTATGAAAGCTCATTTCTTAGCAATGCTGTTATCATCAAACCATGAAATATTTGTAAAATTGGCAATCGCTGCTGTAGTCCTCGAATCCAAAAATGTCTCACACGTATGTCAGTAAAAAAATTACAACTACCGAAAGCACTACAACATCTCTTCTGTCCTGTTCCACTCAGTTTTGAATTCATAGGTACAAAGTACTAAGAAAGAAAAATGGCGTCAAGTAGGTTGAGTCTATGTTTCCAGCGCAACGCTCTCATCAACTCATAAAGACTAATATCTGACACAAGTTTGTTCTTCTTAGAAGAAAGTTGACTTCGAACATTTATAACCAATGGATTGAATGAATCATGTCAGTCAGACAGGCTCACACAATCAGTCCATAGTCCACACAGGTTTGATAACCGCCCTAGGGATAGTACTGGCCACCCAGCAACATGGCAACTCTGCCTGCCGTGGGACCGAATACACGCATAATCGCTTAATTATCCCTCAGCATTCGAAACAAATAAATGTACGCTTGTTGTGTTATACGACACGCGTATGTCGAAAATATATTTCTATCATTCAAGTTTTATGGGCAAATGTACGGGGAAATCTATGAAAAATGCCTAATAAATCGAATATCCGGGGTTGGAAACGTATAAATTGACAGCACCAACAAATTGGCATATATATGTATACTCTTCTCCAATATCTAAAACAACAACATCCCATATTTAACCCTTGAAAAAATCTTTATGAAAATGGTCAGGAAGTTTGAGCGCTACTGGATCGATTTTAAAAACTACAAAACGTTTTCGTCCTTGGCATAGTAGCAACCTTGTGTTTCATCAAAACCCAAGAGGAACTTCTCGAATTATAGAAGGGCCAACAATTAGCGGACAGACACCAGGCCGACAGATAGACCGACGGAAATGGGTGCCATGGTTTCCACCCAAAAAACGTGATACTACTGCTCCTTAACATTTCAAACCTTTTACAAATCACTATATACCGTTAGAAAGAAGCACATACAAATACTTGACAATCCGGAGAACTACTATTCACACGACTTATGAAAAAAAAAAGATGAAATAGTTGTAACCACAATCATCCTTGACACACTCCACTTTGAACAACCTTAAACTACTGAATAATAAAAAAAATTAAGAATACAGTGAACAAACAGTAAATAATCTAAATTCCACCAAATCAATTAAGCCGTTATTACCTCTCTTGCATTTTCGAAAACTTCACACACCACTACCGCTAAACACAAAGAATCACTATAAACTTTCTACACCCCGGAAGTACCAAAATACACGTACCATTTTTAGAGGGACAGAAATAGTAACAGTCACCCCGACGCTTGCTCCGTCTCGACTGTTCCCGTGGGATGATTTCCTTCTCTTTTTCCTGTACACCCTTATGGGCTTAGGGCCCATCTCTACCTGCTCGAAACACCCGCTATCTCTCATTCGTATCGCTATCTCACTGCGTTAAGATGCGTCTGCACTGTGAACTGTGCTGTGTCTAGACACAAAATTCCAAGAGGACACTAGCTGTCTGCCGGTTATTTATACTTAACCAATTAAAAATTCTTGATAACGCGAATAGTTCTAGAAGATTTTGTTTGTAAATAGCGCCGTATCGACAAAGAGATGGTGGGGGCACCAGCTGATTAGCGTTTCTAAAAATAGGTGATAGACATCCAGGCAAAGACGCTTACCAAATAGCGTTTCCTATTGGTGAAAGCAGTGATGCAGTGGTGCACATTTTATGCTCTTTCGGCAAAATCAGTGCATCTATTCACGTCTTTTTGATCTGGTTTTGGACCCGGTGTCAAAATATCGCACGACCTAGAGAAGCTCGTCTAGTTTTTTTAGACGGCGCGACTACTATAAGCAACTTGAAGACACTTTGTTAATCCGATTTTTGAACAGCCTAAGCTTAGCAGAAGTGAGAAAAAATGCCTCAGACATACAGTTTCACCGGGAACGACGGAGCGGTCGAACCGGTCAGTTCTGTACGTACGAAGTCGACCTAGATCGGATGGGAAGCTGAAGCCTGGAGGGTCCGTCTAGTAGGCTCAGTGCACGGCGGTATCATGAAGCAGATCTCTGGGGAGCAGAATCTATTGACATAGCGGTGGAAGAGAGCATAATTGCCGACGCCTCGTCGGTCTGAGAGGGTGGCGAGACTGTCTGTTAGAGAAGTATAATCGATCAGTCGAAAAGCCTTCCTCTGAAGATCATTGAGCATGAAGCTTATATGCCTGGAGAACCGGCGAAATGAGGAAAAAACGATCCCAAAACTTGACGCCTGATTGAGGCAGCAGTGATCGTAGCGAGTACGAGCTACTGCGCATGCGCAGATTATCTGAGATTATAGTAAGAGATTCGGCCGCTTGAATCTGCAGATATTGTGTTTTTTAATAAAACCCGAATTTTTGAATGATCAATAATAGTACAACAGAACAGGCAACCTTGCTGTAATATATTCTATTATTTATCATGCATGAAAATCAATTAAAAAAACACGTTCTTTCTGATTAAAGCAGCCTATTAGAAAAGTGTTTATATGGTGGAAACGTCAAAGCACAGTGTTGCCAGATGGGTAGGACAAAATTTCTCAGGACATACCTAAGGGTTGCTACTTCTTCAGAAAAGAAAAACCTCCAAAGCACAGTTAATTAATCGTAAGGGGTATAGGTTGGGTTCAAAGAGCAGCATGCTTTATAGTTTTTAGCCCTAGAAAAATAACCTAGCTTTTTACCAGCCGCTGCTGCGATTGACGAGAGTCAACTTTCAACAGCTTTTGTGTTACCGGTGTGAAGTTGACAGACAAAACTTAGCAGACAATTTGCCGAAGATACCTGAATGACCAGACTGTGATTGTGAAGAATACAGCTAACAGCTCGCAACAATAAATATATATGCACGAGAATAAGCACCCCTATAGGAAGAATCATTTTCACCCCAATTAAATAATTCGCAGGAACAAGACTTAACCCAAAACCTTTCTTCAAATTTTCACTTACGGATTATTGTATATATGGTATTGAAAGTAATTTATTAATGAGGGGTAAATAAAAAAATATAAGTAAAACTTCATTTTCACCCCAAAAAAATGATTCCCCAAAATCAGTTGTAACTCAAAAAATACTCTATTAGAGACAATTTATAGGCTAGGTGGAATGATGTGAGAAAGCTTCTGAAAGGCTGGCAGATAAAAAAATATGCTAAAAAATTCATTTTCACCCCGAAGAAAATGATTCCCCAAAATCAGTTATACCTCAAAAAAATACTCCATTATAGAGACAATTTATAGGCTGAGTGGCATGGTGTGCGAAAGCTTCTGAAAGGCTGGCAGATAAAAAAATTTGTTTATCAATTCATTCTCACCCCAAGGAGATGATTCCCCAAAATCAATTGTACCTCAAAAAAATACTCTATTATAGAACATTTTATAGGCTAGGTGGCATGGTGTGACAAAGCTTCTGAAAGGCTGACAGATAAAAAAAAGTGCTAAAAAATTCATTTTCACCCCCAAGAAAATGATTCCCCAAAATCAGTTGTACCTCAAAAAAATACTCTATTATAGAGACAATTTATAGGCAATGTGTCATGGTGTGACAAAGCTTCTGAAAGGCTGGCAGATAAAAAAATATGTTTGTAAATTGAATTTTATGAACATAGTTTTTTATCTGCCCGCCTTTCAGAAGCTTTGACACCATGCCATCTAGCCTATAAATTGTCTCTATAGTAGAGTATTTTTTTGAGGTACAACTGATTTTGGGGAATCATTTCCTTGGGGGTGAGAATGAACTGATTAACAATTTTTTTTATCTGCCAGCCTTTCAGAAGCTTTCTCACACCATGCCACTCAGCCTATAAATTGTCTCTATAATAGAGTATTTTTTTGAGGTACAACTGATTTTGGGGTATCATTTCCTTTGGGGTGAAAATGAATTTATAAACATATTTTTTTATCTGCCAGCCTTTCAGAAGCTTTCTCAGACCATGCCACCTAGACTATAAATTGTCTCTATAATAGAGTTTTTTTTTGAGGTGCAACTGATTTTGGGGAATCATTTCCTTGGGGTGAAAATGAATTTTTTAGCATACTTTTTATCTGCCAGCCTTTCAGAAGCTTTCTCACACCATGCCACCCAGCCTATAGATAGTCTCTATAATAGAGTATTTTTTTGAGGTACAACTGATTTTGAGGAATCATTTCCTTGGGGGTGAAAATGAAATTTTTTTGCATATTTTTTTATCTGCCAGCCTTTCAGAAGCTTTCTCACACCATGCTACCCAGCCCTTAAATTGTCTCTAAGATAGAGTTTTTTTTTGAGGTGCAACTGATTTTGGGGAATCATTTCCTTGGGGTGAAAATGAATTTTTTAGCATACTTTTTATCTGCCAGCCTTTCAGAAGCTTTCTCACACCATGCCACCTAGCCTATAGATAGTATCTATAATAGAGTATTTTTTTGAGGTACAACTGATTTTTGGGAATCATTTCCTTGGGGGTGAAAATGAATTTTTTAGCATATTTTTTATGTGGCCACCCTTTCAGAAGCTTTCTCACACCATGCCACCTAGCCTATAAAATGTCTCTATAATAGAGTATTTTTTTGAGGTACAAGTGATTTTGGGGAATCGTTTCCTTGGGGGTGAAAATGTTTTTTTAGCATATTTTTTTATCTGCCAGCCTTTCAGATGCTTTCTCACACCATGCCACCCAGCCTATAAATTGTCTCTATAATAGAGTATTTTTTTGAGGTACAACTGATTTTAGGGTATCATTTCCTTTGGGGTAAAAATAAATTTATAAACATATTTTTTTATCTGCCAGCCTTTCAGAAGCTTTCTCACACCATGCCACCTAGCCTATAGATAGTCTCTATAATAGAGTATTTTTTTGAGGTACAACTGATTTTGGGAAATTATTTCCTTGGGGGTGAAAAAGAATTTTTTAGTGTATTTTTTATCTGTCAGCCTTTCAGAAGCTTTCTCACACCTTACCACCTAGCATATAAATTGTCTCTATAATAGAGTATTTTTTTGAGGTACAACTGGTTTTGGGGAATCATTTTTGTGGGGTGAAAATGAAGTTTTACTTATATTTTTTTTTATGTACCCCTCATTAATAAATTTCTTTCAATACCATATATACAATAATCCGTAAGTGAAAATTCGAAGAAAGGTTTTGGGTTAAGTCTTGTTCCTGCGAATTATATAATAGGGGTGAAAATGATTCTTCCTATAGGGGTGCTTATTCTCGTGCATATATATTCATTGTTGCGAGCTGTTAGATGTATCCTTCACAATCACAGTCTGGTCGAGGATGTCAACGCCACTGGTCATTCGGGTATCTTCGGCAAATTGTCTGTTAAGTTTTGTCTGCCAACTTCACACCGGTTTTTGTGTTTTTCTCCGAGGTTGCTGATAGGATTTTTGTAATGTTTTGTTGTGATATTTGTGATATATGCTCTAATGATGTTATTATTAGCGTATTTAAAAATTACCTATTTTTCTTTGGTCCAATTTATTTAATCTTATTTTCATACTTTCTCGAAAAATATCGATGCGACCGAGTTCAAATCCGTCTCCACATTAAGTTAAAGTATGTTTGTGACATGAACCCATTGTTTTTAAAAAAACTTGTTTTTTAGCCAATGTTATTTGATAACTTATTTAGCAAACTTCTTCTGTCATGTCTTGGATTGTTCACGTCATGTAAACAACGGTAACCTGCCATATGTGAAAACAATTTTGATTGTTCAGAAAATAATCGAGATATGGAAAAAACGATGAAAAAATTTATTCGACCACGCCTCCTACTGCCTCCACCCACTTACCCGAGCCAAGGTGTCAAGCATCTCGCAGTATCCAGCCTAGTTGCCGGATTGTTTGTACACAAGCAAATTTCAAAAACCAGCACACTTTTCGGAATTTGGATATCTTATAATAATAATAATAATAATAATAATAATAATAATAATAATAATAATAATAATGATAATAATAATAATAATAATAATAATAATAATAATAACTATCTTCAAATGTTACCAGGTCGGCCCAAGGAAACTGAAATCTAAAAGATTGCATTGTTGGGTACCGCACATATCCTAAGGAAAGTGCTAGGGTAAATATCTCAGAGCTCCTGTCGAGCTCCGTGTTTACTCCTGAAAACCGTCCAGAGACAAGAGGAAACAAACAACACCAATAATAATAATAATAATAATAATAATAATAATAATAATAATATCTAATAATAACGCAATAGATAAGGAACCAGTAGTACCATATATACCATCAGAAATTGAAACGGTTGTCGAAAATGGAAAGTGTCGCATTTATATTAACTACGCCTTCCCTAACACCAGAAAGTTAAATGCTAACAAGCCAGATCTCACTATACTACACAAAGAAAATAAACATACCTTTGTCATAGAATTCTCTAACCCTGCAGAGAAAAATGTCATACTCAAAGAAAGAGAAAAGAGAGACAAGTATTGGGGCCTA